GCAGACCCCTCGCTCTTCGTTCGTACTGGCCAAACCCCGTTCTACATCCTTGTTTACGTAGACGGCCTGGTCTTCGCCACAGCAGACAGGAATGCGCCCCGGTGAGCGGCCTAGCTCTGCCCCGGTCCTGTACGCTGACAACAGGGCCATGATCCTCCTGTGTCAGGAGCCTCGACTCGAGGGCAGAGCAAAGCATATCCAGCTGCGGTACTTCCTCCTGTGTGAGCTCCAGCAGCGCCGCTAGGCGCGCTTAGTACACTTGGCCTCCGGTGCCAACACAGCTGATATCTTTACGAAGGCGCTTGCGCCTAAAGATCATCAGCGGCACTGTGTACAGCTAGGTCTCGTTCTTGTAGCCTCTCACTTGCTAGGGCCTTGACTTTGTACTGTCCTTTATATATATATTTTACCCTGACTGGCCTTGTGGCCTCTCCCAGTGGCTGGACTAGTAGTGCCGCCCTGGTCTTGCTCTTGTCTTGTCTGTACTCCTTTGACTGGTCGTTAGACCCTTGTCTCAGAGGCTGGACTAGTAGTGCCGCCCTGAGCTGCTTCTTTCCCTGTTAGGCAATGCCCCTATATAGTCTAGGGGGTGTGTCAAATGTAACTTAGGTCGTTGCTGTAGACTATAGTGGATTGTGCCTTAGGGGTACAACACTCTAGTCTATATACCCTTGTACTCACACGTTCTAGTTCAATTATTCTTTCTTATACACATCGCACGTCGAGGGTTTGGGGGGGCGAGTTGACGTCCGCTAGCTTAGCGGGCGTCAACGTGCTACTTCGGACACCCTCTAAACTCGGGATGTTTCGAGAATGGATAACGAATGAAAGGGAGGGATCGCGATGGAGGGGGGAGGACACGACAAGCAGGTGCGACATGGTGTTTCACAGACTATAACCAGTTACATACCATATTCCCCCGGATATACGCCACTAGGTGCGTTTAGGGATTATAGTCAAAATTTGGGGGGTGCTTATAATTGAATTTATTTCATATGGCACGGTGCAGAATAAAGGGATTTATGGAAAACTCAGATATGAACATGAAAATGTAGCTGGAACAATTTCCAATCTGGTGGATGTGCTCCCAAAGGGGAACGCCCCGAACAGTCCCTCGAAAACCGCTTGACAGTAGATTGGCACGCCAAGTGGCAGGATTGCTGCACTTTGCGAGCGAGCAAGGGTCGATCGCGGCCATCCGTCTTGAATTATATTTGTTAAATAATTGTAGGCTTGGTAGGTGTTACTGAACTCTACTGTAGAGGGTACAACTCCCTCCTTGTATGCCTCTCTCTCTTCTATTCCAACCCTCTTTTCTCTTGAAATTTTCTCTCCTAGCTCCTAAACCTCCCGCCATTTCACGGCCGCCTACCTTCCTAGCTAAGTTAGTCTTCTAACATGGAATCAGAGCTATTCGTTCCTTGTGGGCCTGCTCCTCACGCTTCCGCCACGCTCTTCTACTCTCTCTCGCGCTGCCATGGCGGCCGCGTCGTGCTCCTGTGGCCGCGTCGTCGTGCCGCTGGCCGCGTCGTGCTGCCGCGGTCGTCGCAACGCGCTGCCGTGGCGTCGCGCAGGCGTGGCGTCGGCTTCAAGCCGTGGCGGCGTCGGCGTCGACGTCAAACTGTGGCGGCGTGACGGCGTCGTCGTGCTGCCGCGGCGTCTACGTGACAGCGCGCGGACGGCACGGACGGCAGCGGCCAGCGCCTCTTCTTAGCGCTGGCCAGCACGCCCGCATGCAGCCAGCGCGCCACACGGGGCGGCACGCTCCCGGGCTCCGCTGCTGAAGCCCCGCCCCCCTACCCCTGCGTCCCCTCTTCCTTGCCGCAGCCGACGGCTATTTCGTGCCGGCCGTCCCACCGTCGCGGAGCCCGGCCACGCCGCCGAGTGCTGCGAGCTCCGCCGCCGCCGGCAGCTGTCGTCGAAGCCGCCGCCGCCGCAGTTGGTGCCGCTGGCCACGCCGCCGCACCCCGCCGGCGCCGCCGCTGTCGACGCTGCTGCCGTCGCCGCCGTTGCAACCGCTGTCCTCGTTGTCGATGTTGCCCCGCCTCACGTGCCGTGGGGTTGACCGTGCTGAAGTAGCTGTCGCTGCTACTGAGTATGGGGGTGCTAGGTTAGGGGGTGTGGGTGTGTGTGGGCTTGCCACTACCAAGCCTAGGGGGTGTGTTAAATTATATTTGTTATATAATTGTAGGCTTGGTAGGTGTTACTAAACTCTACTGTAGAGGGTACAACTCCCTCCTTGTATGCCTCTCACTCTTCTATTCCAACCCTCTTTTCTCTTGAAACTTTCTCTCCTAGCTCCTAAACCTCTCGCCATTTCATGGCCGCCTACCTTCCTACCGTAATCCCCCGGATATTACACCCGCCGAAATTAAGCACCCCCTAGTGTTATATCCGGGGAGGGTGTTCTATTGAAGAATCCGCAATTATACACCCTCTTTTTGAGGGTTCCAGGAGAGCACCCCCCCTTACCATTTTAGCCCTTCTAAGCCTTGCAACTCCTGGAGCAAATACCGATTTTTCATGCAATTTCATGGTGAGCATGATCATGACGCAAAAGTTCAATTTTACTGAGGCGCACGGCGGGATTCTCCGGTACTGAAAATGATGGGGTGAAACAAATCATTACCTGCGCAATTTTCGCCAAGCCTATTACGAGAGTCACCAACCCCTCAATCTCACTTCTCCAACCTGACACTCCTGATATTCAAGAGCAAGTGGGCGATCTGGGGGTATTATGAACCTCGAGAAAACGTACGCCTTTTCAGCTGGAACTTGGATGGTTGAAATCGCCATGAAACGCCGAGTCTAATGCATATCTAAAAAATTCTGTCCTCAAATATAACACCAGGGTGCTATAGCCTAAACGCGAAATAGAGCACCCACCCCCCTGATTTTGCATGAATTTTGTATTATACCCGGGGTGTTATATCCGGGGGATTACGGTAGCTAAGTTAGTCTTCTAACAATCCGCTCCTCTCGCATCGCACAACAGCAGAGGATGTCTGACCAGATTTAGCGTGGCAAGGTGACAAGGGCCGATTTCGTGTGAAGAAACGACTGGGGTAGGCGAATCTCAACTTGAATCTGACAGAAAACCCGGCCAACCCCAGCCAGCGCACAGAAAATAGGGGGGTGCGTGTAGGGATTAGATCCTGGCCAACAGCAGGGTGCGTATAAATGGCACACCCGATATGTCACCCCTCTGGATCAGGCCCCACGATATCAGGATTTTTACGCTTTTTACGCTTTTTTTCAGGGTGTTTGCTTGTACCGACCCTGATGAAAAAGTTTTTTGTTTTTGTTCAACCCTGATGAAAAAGCCTTTTTTTGAAGTACAACCCTGTTGAAAAAGCGTTTTTTTCCCTAGAGTTACTGAGCAATCAGCGCAGTTGCGCGTAACGACACCAAAACAAAGAACTACAGTACGTGATTTAGGGAAGTTCATCTTGTTGGCGGCTGTTTACCTCCCCCCTTGTCTATCACGCAACTGATTTAACAGCAGCATCTGGTCGGGGCGCGCACACTTACCAAATCCAGTCGCGCTGTAAACATCGTGCAGCCGCTGTGCAGCCCCATTGGCAGTTACCAAAATGTTGCCTTGGCAACCAATGGGAGCTGTAGTTAGGAATCAGGAAGCAGCAGCACTGAACCTATCCACCCTGCCCACCAGCGGCCCGACCTGCCTCACCTTTCGTCGTGCGACACGACGCTCTCCCCTTCCTACCGAGGAACCCCCTGGTATCTTCTTTGGGGCTCTCTCGATTTTGACGGGAGCCCAAATAGCCCTGGGGAAAACGTGTCTCGCTCACTCACGATTGCCCCACCCTAGCGTGCAGCCTGTCAGGCTGCTCAACCGCGTCCTCACCTTACCCAGCAGCACCATTTCCACCCAGCCAGCTCTCGCCATGGCTGTTGCTGGGGGAAGCTGTATCGACGGCGACGCGGCAGCTCCTGACGAGCCTCCGCAATCTTCGACTGCCTCTCCAGCTCCGTGTAGCGCGCTAGAGTTTTTACTAATCTCACTGCCGCCTTTGCGAAACAAAATAGGCTTGCCAACGAGTTTTCAAATGTCTCAGCACCCCACCAGAAGTCTACCTCACCCACGCCAGCAGCGGCTGTCTCCATAATATCAGCCACGCCAGGTGATCGACCCTCCTGCGCCTGCTTTACCCGTGCTTCCACTGGCATTCACGCTACCTGCGCCCGTCTGGGTGTGTGCGGATGACATCCCAGATTCTCCGCCAGAGGACCCTGCTATGAACACGGGTGTTGCCCCATGGCTAACAAATCGGGGCGCATCAGTGGACTCTGCCGCCACTGCCATGCCCTAAACCAGCGCCACCCTTGGCCGTGCAGGACGTGAGTCTGCCACTGGTAAGTGTTTGACTATTTTTTTTTAGCAGCGCCATCCTTCGTGCGATTTACACAAGCCTTTTACCGAACCCTTTTCTTGACCGTATTGGCCCCTGGCAGGGATCCCCATCCCTGCCACCGTCAGACCTGAGACTCGCGCGGCTGGTACTCGCCGTGCAGGACACGAGACTAACGCGGCTGGTGCTCGCCGTGCAGTACCCGAGACTAGCGCGGCTGGTGCTCGCCGTATAGGACCCGAGACTAGCGCGGCTGGTGTGTCAGGTAAGTGGAGTTTGTTGGGCTGTTGTCTTCGTTTTTCCCATTCGTGCTCTATTAATAACCTTCAGCGCATCTTGCAGGAACTCCTACATCTGTGAGAGGCATGCTAGTAAGTGGTATCCTAGTGGGCATGGCCCTTATAGTAGCTTCTTGTGCTGAATTCATAGATGTTGTAGTTCGATTGGATATGATAGTCTAAAGATGCGATAGGATCTTATTGTAGTTAGGAGGATAGCATGTCCAATCGCGAAATGCTTACTGTTTGTGCTAAATCAGCGTAATTTTTTCAGTTAACCCTGATGGAAAAGCCAACTTTCGCAATCCAACACTGATGAAACAGCTTTTTTTTTTGGGTCAAGACTGATGAAAAGTTTTTTTTTTTAGTACGACACTGAGCAATCAGGGTACCTTAAAACCAATCGTGGGCCCTGCTCTGGATATACGCACCATGGTGCGTTTTAGCCGGCGGTGCGTATATCTGGGGGAATACGGTAATACGGTATGCAATCAAACGAGTTGGGAGTAATTTCAACAGGCATAGCCGATTGCGAGCAGCAGAAGAAATAAATAAGCAACCACCACAACAGGGGACGCAAACTGAAAACTGCAACGGACTAGCGAAATTCATCACGCCTTGAGTCGTCGTCGTTCCCGAGCGTGAAATCTGATTGGTTGAACGATGATTGGTCATCATACATATCAAACATCTGCGAGTCTGCTTCATAGTACGTCTCGTCCTCGTCGACTTCAATATTGCGAGCAATGCTCCACGCTACTCCCTGAAAGGCGAAACAAACGCATGTACAAGTATCAAACCCATTACAGTAAGGAGCGCATGCATTCTTCGACGCAAATCTGCATGAACGCCCTAGCATTTGGAACTGTTCTTTCGACGGTTCGTTGCTTTTAACGGTCATGCATTCTATGCAGCAAAAAGAGCATAAGGTTGTAAGGGTAGATGATGTGAAAAGAGATGATAGGGTTCATCCATCCATCCTCCATGTGACGATGCGTTTTTCCCCAATGGACTCACGAGGCTATAGAGGTAGGCGATGTGCTTGATGGGGTTCATCCATGGCTTCGCCTTCATGGCAGACATCCCCCCACTCGCTTCCTCCCCCTCCTCCTCCAGCTCCCTGCACGCACCACGCACAGGGGATGCAAGGGAATGCAAGCACCAGGCAGAGGGGGATGCAAGGGAATACAGGCACCAGGCATAAAATCGATTTGTGAGACAAGTAGCAGCTGGCGAGATGTGAACCCTGCGCCTTGATGGCACACATTCCCGCACTCGCTTCCTCCCCCTCCTCCTCCAGCTCCCTGCAAGCACCAGGCACAGGGGATGCAAGGGAATGCAAGCATCAGGCACAGGGGGACGCAGAAGAATGCAGGCGAAAGGAAGATAGAAAGCAGAGGAAGCACACGAAGCATAGAAGCCAAGACAAGGGGGGCTTGGCTCTCAGGCAAGGCCCAGCAGACAAGGAGAAACCAGATGGGCTGAAAGGATGCGTAAACAGGTTCTGAAAGCCCTCCCTCCCTCAGGGGGGGTATGACAGTCAGCAGCAACACACACACACCTCTTGGAAGGTGTTTGATGCTCCTCACAACACAAGACATACCTCTTTGCCAGGTGGCCGCGGTAGAGCAGCACGGCGAGGTACATGAGGCAGGCGAAGGTGGCCATGATGGCATACACGATGAACAGGTTCTGAAAGCCCTCCCTCCCTCGGGCGGGGGGGGGGGGGGTATGGCAGACACCAGCACCACATACATACCGCTTGGCGAGGTGGCCGCGGTAGAGCAGCACGGCGAGATACATGAGGCATGCGAAGGTGGCCATGACGGCATACACGATGAACAGATTCTGAAAGCCCTCCACGCCTAGGCTCTCCGACGACGCCCCACTCGACTGGTCGCTGCACGTCAGGTTGCTCTGGGGAGAGATGTGGGGGCGATGCAGGGGGGTTGGAGGCAAGCCACGGGGTGAGGATGTCACAACATGTTCTGAAGACCCTCCGCGCCTAGCCTCGCCAACGACGCCCCACTCGACTGGTCGCTGCACGTCAGGTTGCTCTGGGGGTGTTATGGGGGGAGTGGGGTCCAAAAAAACAAGAAGAGAATGGGAACTGTTTTGAGGGGACTCAAAACTTAACAAGAAGAGAATGGAAACTTTTTTTAGTCGACTCAAAACTCAACAAGAAGAGAATGGAAACTTTTTTAGTCGACTCAAAACTCAACAAGAAGAGAATGGAAACTTTTTTAGTCGACTCAAAACTCAACAAGAAGAGAATGGAAACGTTTTTTAGTCGACTCAAAACTCAACAAGAAGAGAATGGAAACTTTATTTAGTCGACTCAAAACTCAACAAGAAGAGAATGGAAACTTTTTTTAGTCGACTCAAAACTCAACAAGAAGAGAATGGAAACTTTTTTTAGTCGACTCAAAACTCAACAAGAAACTGCTACTCTGCACAGGAAACAAAGCAGTGGGCGAATATGGACGATGTCTGTCTGGAACCAGGTACAGTTTCAAACACGAGGAGTCTATTTTTGAGATGCCTAAAAAATGTCGACACTGTCCGTCTTGAACCAGGTACAGTTTTGAACAAGAAATACAATGTGTTCTTACTTATTCCGCAATGATGCCAAACATTTTCCTAGGCAAATGCTGGACTACCCCCGTACAGGCACATACCCCTAACTGGCACATAAGCCCGTACAGGCACAAAAACCTTACAGGAACATACCCCTTGACAAGCACAAAACCCTTACAGGCACAAACCCTTACAGGCACAAAACCCTTACAGGCACAAAACCCTTACAGGCACAAAACCCTTACAGGCACGTAGTTGTCGTGGATGGATCGCAGAACTCCCGATTCCCCGAGCTGAGCGATGGCCTTGCTCAGATCAACGGCAAGATTCGACCCTTTTTGGAAGGCCTGGAGATTGAGAGGAGAGCAGAGAATGAGAGAAGAATGAGAAGGTTGCTTGAACCCCCCGAGCTGGCCAATTGCCTTTCTCAGATCAACAGCTGGCGGCACATGGTGCCGCGCTAACCGCTGGCACAAGCACTGCTCACACACTAGGAGCTGCACTCACAAAGGCCCATCCCAAGGTTGAGTTGTCCGCCTCCCCTGTAGTGAATGCTTCCTTCGACAGGATGAGGTGGCGCCAGAAGCGGCAGCTGTATATCCCGATGCTCGGGCTGCAGGCGGTACTGGCAGCACAGCACAACACCCTGATAGGCTGATTGCACTCACAAACGCCCATCCCAAGGTGGAGATGTCCGCCTCCCCAGTGGTGAATGCGCAGTCCGTCGAGAGAATGAGGTCGAGGAACGGCCGCTCGTCCACCACCCCCACCACCGTGCCATTCAGCATGGCCTCTGCGTACTCGTCCACGCTGTTCAAGGACTGGAGTTGCTTCTGTTGGGGGAGAGAGGGGGGGGGTGGGTTTGGGGGGGAAGAGGGGGGGGGGGGGGGTTCAAAGCAGAAGCATAATTAAGTGCCATGAGAAGCAGCTGCTCGCCCACTAACCCCACCAGCATGCCGTTGAGCATGGCTTCTGCGTACTGGTCCACGCTGTTCAAGGACTGGAGCTTCTTCTCTTGGGGGGGAAGGGGGTTAAGATGAGGGCATTCTGGGGAGTATCAGTTCAGTCCCCACCACCCCCACGACCGTGCTGTTCAGCATGGCCTCCGCGTACTCGTCCACGCTGTAGAGGGAGTGGAGTTGCTTCTGTTGGGGGGGGGGGGGGAGGGGGAGGGGGGAAAAGAGGAAGCAGATCTCAGTGCCATGAAGAACCACCATGCCGTTGAGCATAGCCTCCGTGTACTCGTCCACTGTGTTGGGAGACCGGAGTTGCCTCTGTTGGGGGAAAGATTTAACACAAGGGATCTGTTGAGAAAACAGCAAGGGCTTCGTGTTGTGGTGCACAGAATGCAATGTCCAATCCACCACCCCCAGCACCGTGCCTTTGAGCATAGCTGGAATGTACTCGTCCGCGCTACTGAGTGATCGGAGCTGCTTCTGTTGGGTGAGAGGAAACGAGGAAAATAGAGCACAACATTGAGCATGGCAATGGCATACACGCCCACATTATGGTATCCATAGATTGAAGTTGCTTCTGCAGGGAAAGAGGGGGAAGAGGAGGGAGAGGAGGACAACCATGAGATTATGCCTTTTCAGGCGCCTCAAAAGAGGAGGGGGAGGGAGAGGGAGAGAGAGGGGGAGAGGGAGAGGACACCCATGATATCACTTTTGAGGCGCCTCAGAGGGAGAGGACACCCTGTGTCGTGCTTCTCCCATTTCTCCCTCTCTTCTTAGCTATCCTTATTCCCTGCCCTCCTTCTTCCTTTGTCCATTCCGCCTCTTGTAGGTGATGACTGCTGCCGTGGGACCAAGCTCTCCTGCCGTGTTACAAGCCTCGCACTGACTGCTCGGATCTACTTAGGACCGAATTCCCGTACTGCTAGACTCTAGTAGGCGTAGAGCGTAATTGCGGTATAGAAGGAAAACATACAAGCGAGAAACGATAGGCCTACAGAGTCTCATCCTATTTGCACATCCATCTCTCCCTGCTCCACCAACCCCCTCCCCTTCCCTCCCTTGGGAACTGAGATTCCCTTGGCCCATCTTCACGTCAGATGGGGCCTATGCTGACGCCCTCCACCTCCTTCCAGCTCGCGCCTCGATGTTTCGACTTTCCATTCTCCCTGCGCCTCGATCCCTTCGCTCATTACTGGCTTTGTACAGTGCAGTACTGTACCTCTCCCTGTCACACCTTATCTTTCAATTATACATGCAATCTCTTCCCCAATTCTTCTCTACTTCAACTCCCCTCTCCCCTTGCTGCTGTGTTAACCATGGGAAGGCTCATCGTCACTCATGGTCTTGGGAAGAGCAGCAGTGCGAAGTCAGTCGCTTGAGCAACAAGAACGAGAGTAAAAAATCCTAGGCAGAGATTTGCTTCGTAAAAACTCTTCACTCAAATTTACCAGGTCGCAAACATGTTTCGGCTTACGGGGATCAAACCCGCCGAGCCTTCATCAGTGCTACTGGACATAAGAGAACACGAGTCTAGGCATGAGCTAAGTAACAACCCACACCCTCCAAAACAATTCTCAAGATTATCAACTACCCAGATTGCCTATCAATGGGCATTCGCCAACACAGCAGTGGGTAAAAACCCAAGGTTGCAGGTGTCAGTCTTCAGGAGGGTCTTCTTCCGAACTGTCGATAAGCCTTGGTAACTTGGCTCGCACAAGTAACTTTTGAAGGTTACGTGCACACCTCCATGCAATGAAAATATTCCCCATATAAAATCCGCGTGAGTTGAGACGATTTTTGAGGCGCCTCAAAAGGACCCCCAGCCTGAGACGTGCTGTTAACGGAGTAAACAGCGTCTTCAAGACAAGGGGCCCGCGGTCAGGGGGAGTAGAAATTCGGTGTGCCTGGCGAGCTTCAGTCTGCTCCAATAGGAGCGGGCGTTGTCGGAAGAGAACACTCTGGAAGATGGGTGTCAGAAAATCAGCCGGATAACCCCGATCTCTTAGCCGCTGGAAGAAAGCACGCTTAGAAGCAAAGTAGGTTTGAGCAGATGACGAGCGTAAGAGGTAACGCTTCAGCTCCGCCCGTATGAAACCTATCTTGCAGTGTCGGGGGTGGAATGACGAAAAAGGCAGGTACAGGTACCGGTTCATCGGTTTCTGAAAAGTTTTCAGATCCAGGGTACCCTGCTCGGCAAAACGTTGACCCTTGAAGATGACCAGGTCGAGGAAGTCAGCCGAACTGTCTGAAATGTGCCACGTGAGCTTGATGTTTGGATCGAGCGTGTTGAAGGTGTTCAGGTACTCCTCCAATTCGCTCTTCGATCCGGGCCAAATTATTAACCCGTCGTCGATGTAGTGCACGTGGCACAATGGTGTAGTTCCAGACCACCGCCTTGAAAGAATCTCGTCCAGCCAGCTCATGAAGAGGACAGCAAAGCATACTGCAGCAGGAGTTCCCATAGCAGTCCCTTGTGTCTGTTGGTAGATTCGGCTGTTGAACTCCACGAAAGAATTCATCATGACCCATTCCAGCAAGGCCATGACTGGTTGAGAATTCACGATTCTCCCTCGTTGAAGAAAATTGCCCACCGCATCGAGCCCTCGCCTTAGTGGGATGCTGGGATAGAGCGAGGTGACGTCGTACGTAGCTAGAAGTATTCCTTTAGGAAAGGCGGTCTTTTCCAGCATCAGTAGCAATGAGAGGGAGTCGCGCAGGTAAGTTGGCTGTTGAAGCACCAGTGGTCGAAGTTCCGCGTCCAACCAACGGCTAACATTCGAAGTCACCCATGAATGCGAAGCTGCGATAGGCCGCCCCGCGAGTTTCTTCTTGTGTAGCTTCGGAAGGATGTAGAACGCCGCCGGTCGCCATCCTCCGCGCGGTTTGTCAAAGAAAAATTTCCAAAGGCTCTCGGGAAAAGCAGGTCCCCACACGCTTTGCAGATCACGCAGCTTCCGCACGACGTCGGCGGTAGGATCTCGATGAACTGGAGTGTAGGTCGTCGCGTCGTCAAGATGGTCGAGACAGAGGCGAACGTAGTGACTCCGGTCCATGACAGTGATCCCGACGTTCTTGTCGGCAGGTTTCACTACCACGTGTCGATCCGCAGCGATGGAGCGCAACGCCCGTCGAACACCAGACGAGATGTTCTGATGTCGGATCGGGTGGGTTGCCTTCAACAGGAAGGACAAGTCGAATGACGAATCCTTGAAGACCTGCTCTGGAATTTGAATCCGATCAGGAAGCCAGTCGGGATTCCGCACTCGAAAGCGCGAGTCCCCCTTCCGACCGCCGTCATCCTTGAAGAAAAGTCGAAGCGAAATCTGGCGTAGGAGCTGGTCGAGCTCCACAGCACCAGACAGGGAAACGGCAGGCGTTGGAATGAACTTCAGTCCCAACCCCAGCCCCTTCTTCTCGTCCGAAGACAAGACCTTGGAGCTGAGGTTATGTACTCCCCGGTTCCGGATCCGTGTCGACAGCTGCCGCACTGTCAACCGTCCGAACCAGCGGAGCGCCAAGTCGTGACTGGTTAGTTCTTGCGCGGCCCTTTTCCGGGGCCGCCTCCGCCGTTTTTTGGTCCCTTGGCCTTCTCAGATGTCTGGCCACCCGCTTGCTGGTCTTTGTCGGTGCCGTTCTTCTTTTTGTTCTTCTTACCCCCGCGTTTCTTCTTCGGCTTCGAGTCCGTTGCCGTATTAGCCGAGAGGCGCTCCTGAGGATCAGGAGTGAAGGGCTTCGACGTTCCGGCAGACGATTTCTTTTGCTTCGAGTCAACAGCGGGGGCCCGGGAGGAGTCCTGTGCTCCGAGAGAAAGATTTTTCAGCAGCTTCTTCATCAGATTGGATTCAATTTTTGGCGCGAGCTCCCTCCAAAACTTGTGTTCAATCCGCTTCGCGTGCTTGTCCATAATCTTCTCATCCCGGTCTCGGTTTCCATGTCATGCACCTCCTCGGACGCAGCAGCCTTCTTCAATTCTTCAGCAGCTACCTTCCGCTGTCGATCCAGCTCCTTGATGACGATGTCATCTTTCGCAGCTGCGATGTCGGAATTCGCCTTCGCAATGCATCTCCCCTTGAGCAGTCGAAACTTCTCCTTGGCGGTATCAGAAACCACCAGATCGGGGTTAGTGCTCAGGCTTTGAATATAATCTTCCATCGTTGCAGCTAGAGCGGTGACGTGCGAATTCGCCGCTGTCTGCAGCTCTTCAACCTCCAGTGCCTTTGAGGCGATGAAGTCCGCCTGCAGCCGTTTCTGGTTCGCCTCGTGAATCGCGGCGACGGATGCAGCAGATTTCTCTTTAACGGACGGAAGCTTCGTTTGGAACTCGACAGCCTTGGTGCGGATGCTGTGAAGCAAAACACCTTGAGCATCGAGATCCTTCATCTTCTTGAGCTTCTCTTTCGCCTTCAGCAAAGTCTTGAAGTCGTCGCGAAAGCTTTTGACAGCCGACTCCGTCCATCCCTTGAAAGGTTGAGGGATTGGAGAGGTGTCGGCAGCTTCCGCCATGACGCTTGGACGACTTGTCGACGGGCCGGTGGGATGAGCTTCAGCTTGCTTGCTTAGTAGAGTGGGTTCGTAGGTCAATGCCAGTGGAGGGATTCTCTTCCCAGCTCCAGATCGCCTGGCGTGTCTTGCGGAGCGTGATGATCCTCCCTCCCCACGAACGCGCTTAACCGAGCTACGACCACTTGTACCGGCTTCTTCCTCGTCGGATGGAATCCAATCGAAGTCCCACGGGTCGTCGTCACTCATGGTCTTGGGAAGAGCAGCAGTGCGAAGTCAGTCGCTTGAGCAACAAGAATGAGAGTAAAAAATCCTAGGCAGAGATTTGCTTCGTAAAAACTCTTCACTCAAATTTACCAGGTCGCAAACATGTTTCG